TGAAGAATGATACATTTGTGAGTCAAGGCAAGTATATCAAGGACATGATCAAGAAGTTTGGCATGAGTGATAGCAAAGCCATTAGCACACCAATAGGAACAAATGGCAACTTGGATAGTGATGCAAGTGGCAATATAGTGGATCAAAAATTGTATCAATCTATGATTGGAAGCCTACTTTATGTGATCGTATCAAGGCCGGATGTCATGTTTAGTGTATGCATGTATGCAAGATTTTAAGCCTCACCAAGAGAAAGTCATTTGAAGGCTACAAAGAGAATATTGAGGTACTTGAAGCATACACAAAATATTGGTTTGTGGTATCCCAAAGGAGCAAAGTTTGAGCTAGTTGGTTACTCCGACTCGGATTATGCGGGATGCAAGGTTGAAAGAAAGAGCACCTCGGGCACATGTCAATTGTTAGGTAGATCACTTGTTTCATGGTCATCAAAGAAGCAAAATAGTGTTGCATTATCAACCGCCGAAGCCGAATACATATCTGCCGGTAGTTGTTGTGCACAAGTACTTTGGATGAAGGCCACTTTGAGTGACTTTGGAATCAAGTTCAAGAAAGTGCCATTGCTATATGACAATGAGAGTGTAATCAAGTTGACCAACAATCCGGTTCAACATACAAGAACAAAGCACATTGATGTCCGCCACCATTTCATAAGAGATCACCAACAAAAAGGGGATATTTGCATTGAGAGTGTAGGCACCGAAGATCAACTTGCCAATATATTTACCAAGCCATTGGATGAGAAAAGGTTTTACAAGCTAAGGAATGAGTTGAACATATTGGATTTCTTAAATATGTGTTGATGCACCCCCACTTATATAACATGCCTCTCATTCAAGCAATCCAAGGTAAAAGTTGATTGGCATGGCATACATCCTTGCTAAGGACATGTTTAGTGCATCTAGTCATCTCTCACATTAAATAGGCTCATTCATGAAAATCAAATGATTTTGATGATTGTATGGTACCACTATTGCTTCTATGCTTATTTTGATCTAGTGGTAGCATATAACATGTTTGTGGGCTTATAAACCTAGTGTTTGATCTAGAAAATGATCTCTAAGTGTTTAACTCAACATGGTACAAGATAACCCTTATTTGGAGGTGTGAAGAAGCTTGTCCTTGGATCAAACCGAGTTAAATATCTTTGGCAAATGATCTAGATTGAATCAAATTTGGGAAAATGATCCTCACCCCATTGATTGACATTGATAATCTCAACCTATCTACATTTTGAACCTTTGTGGTCATTGATGACAAAGGGGGAAAAAACAAAGATATTAGTACATGGTGAGAAAAACAAAGATATTAGTGTACTAAGATAATGAAAAGACAATAAAGGGAGAGAAGTTGATATAGGGGAAGAGATATGATAAAAGAAATGGATCAATTAAAATTTTGAGCACACAAGTATGGGGAGCAAGCTCATGAACTTGTATGGTGCATTTAAATGTGCATTTTATATGTTTGCTTGCATGGCATAAGTTTTAAATTTTAATATCCATGCTTGTGTGGTGTATGTTAGTTGTAGGTTTAAATGATGAAATGAAAAACTAGCATGCACAGGTTATCTAGTGATTTGATTTCCAAATGGTATCGAGCTAACCATGGTGCTAAGGATGGTATATTGGTGCACTCAAATTGGTATCACGCTTTAAAGATCCATCTTTTATATCTTAGCATCATTTGGTAGACATTGTCTCCTATATTTCCTATATAAGCATATGTGCAAGCTTCAATCCAAACTCTTAGCACATATATAGGGGGAGCAATTGTAACCATATGAAGTTTATAAAACTTGTCCATATCCTTTTACACATGGTAAATATGCTTGGGCAAGCAACATGGATTCGATTAAATTTTAATTCATATCTTTGTGAAAATGTTGTCATCAATTACCAAAAAGGGGGAGATTAAAAGCTCTAGTTTGGTTTTGTTGAATTGATGAAACCCTAAGTGCTAACCTAGTTTATCAAGTGATCATGAGATAGGTAGCACATTCCAAGTGGTGAAGCAAATGAAGATCATGACATGATGATGGTGATGTCATGGTGATGATCAAGTGCTTGGACTTGAAAAGAAGAAAGAGAAAAACAAAAGGCTCAAGGCAAAAGTATAAGTTGTAGGAGCCATTTTGTTTTAGTGATCGAGACACTTAGAGAGTGTGATCACATTTAGGATCGATAGCCGTACTATTAAGAGGGGTGAAACTTGTATCGAAATGTGGTTATTAAAGTGCCACTAGATGCTCTAACTCATTGCATATGCATTTAGGATTTAGTGGAGTGCTAACACCTTTGAAAATATTTACGAAAATATGCTAACACATGTGTACAAGGTGATACACTTGGTGGTTAGCACATTTGAGCAAGAGTGAAGAAGATAGAGTTGAAAAGGAGTTAGTCACGCTGGTCACGCAGTGACCGGACGCTGAGGTCCTGCGTTCGATCAGTGGAAACAATGAAGACGCTGGCGTCGGTCTTCGACCGGACGCTGGATCATTTAGTGACTAGACGCTTGAGTGTTTGCATCTAGAGGCACTTGGTGTTCGTGTTTCGCTGCGGGATTCTCTTGTTACTCTTGGTGGTTGCCGCCACCTAGACGGCTTGGAGCAGCGAGGATCGTCGAGCGGAGGTTGGTGTTTGTCTCCGGCTCCGATCATGGTGATTGTGAGGGGTTCTTGACCTTTCCCCGGCGGAGAGCCAAAAGATACTCTAGTGAATTACTCGTGGCTTGTGTGATCCTCATCTTATGTTGGTTGTGCGGCACCCTATTGAGGGTTTGGCGTGTGATTCCAATTAGCGCGTGAACCTCCAAGTGAGTGAATCGCCACAACGAGGACTAGCTTGCCAGCAAGCAAGTGAATCTCGGTAAAAAATTATTGTGTTCATCATTTGATTTCGAGGTGATTGGTCTTCATTCTTGCGATTGATTGGTTTACTCCTCGACACGGCAGTATAAACAAATTGCCCACTCTCTTTACGTTACCGCAAATTAGTTGTCAAGCTCTTTAGAGTAGCTAGTTGTGAGAGCTTGTTAGTTTGGTTAGTGTGGCTCTTTAGTTATCCTTTGAGAGCACACTAACTTAGTGTAGTGACATAGCTATTGTGTGAATAGAAACTATATAAACTAGAATTGTGATAGGTGGCTTGCATTTTTAGTAGGCTAGCGTAACACTTGCTTCGCCTCATAATTGTCTAACCGGTTTGTTAAGTGTTGTTGTAGAAATTTTAATAGGCTATTCACCCCTTCTCTAGCCATTAGGACCTTTCAGTGATCTGGTGAGTGGAGGCCGACGAGGTAAGCCGCCTCCCTAGCCCTTTCCCTTTTCCTTTATCTTCTATGTTTGGATCTTCTTTCTTTTCTTCTTGGAGCTGGTCCGATTTAGGGTTAGCCCTACTGTTCATCTTTTCCGTCTGTCTTCGCGGGTTAGGGTTAGGGTTCGAGTTGTTCTTGAAACCGAGACCCCTTTTCTATTATTTTCTTCACCCCGATTAGGGTTAGGGTTCGCATCGAACCCTTTGCCTAGATCCGAATTGGATCTCTCACCTTCTTCTAATTGCTGCTACCCCTACCAAATCTACGCCTAGAAACCGGCTTCGATACCATTGTTTGACCTTAGGGATCATTTAGGTGCAAATAGGAGGGTGAAACTCTTAATGGTTGAATCAAATTAGACCTAGAACTTGCTACGAGAGAGAGAGAGAGAGAGATGTAGGAGCATCTGACCGTCGGCTTTGGAGGATGACGAGCCGTCCATGGCGTAGTCGTCCCGGAGGGTGTCGGAGTAGTGGAAGCAGGGGAGTTCGGCGTGTCGTAGACATCCGGCGTGGCGTAGAGGCGGCGGTGGCGCTTCCTGTCGCTGGCAGCGCCCCCTCTCTAAATCGGATTAGGGTTTGGGATGTCGGTGGGGTGTCTGACGGCTCAGGTGAACCTTGTGCTTTGTGCCCCGGCCCCATCTCCCTTTTTATGGTGCTGTGCAACGGGCCCACCAACCATGAAGCGATTGGGCGCCTCCGATCAGGACGCGGATCTAAGGGCCCAATTGACCGGAAGAGATCAATCTAATAATCTGAACTCATTTCAGGGCGCGTTTGGATCGAAGGAAAATTGGAGGAAAAGTATAGGAATGCAATTCCTTCAGAAAGACTTTCTCTCTTACCGTTTGGAACGTAGGAAGTAATACAAAACTTTTTAGAGGAAAGGCTTTGGAAGTTGTACTTTTGGAGGAATCTGAAAATAAGCTTTGAGCCGAGAGAAACTTTCCTGTGGCCACTTGCTGCTTTCTCATTGCATCGAAGGCTATTAACATGTTACTTCCCACGTTTTTTCTGTGTTATGAATTCCTACGTTCCAAACATCCGTTCTAGTTATTTTTCGCGTTTTTCCTTTCCTCTGTTTTACCACTACACACTCACCCCATTCCTACGTTTTTTTCCTATTCCCGTATTTTTTATTCCTATGTTCCAAAAAGACCCTCAAGTAGAAAATGCGACATTTACATACTGAAAAATAGGTGAGCATATCTCTTTTTTTTTAGGTGATAGATGAATAGATCGTGGTGGCAGCTCAGGGGCAGGCTTGAACAATATTATGCGAGCGATCGTGAGCGACTGATCAGAATCCATTTGCGATGATTTCGACAGCACATCTTGCACTCGCTACCAAAAGCAAGCAGGTTCAGTACAGTCACAGTATACACGCGCTAAGACCCAGGGATCAAAAAAAAGATTCGAGTATTCATCCATCTTTTGTCTTACCTGCAAAGTTTAGGTGCGCCGCTGACAACGCTATTTCAGCGGTGCATTTTGAGCGAACCAATGTTTTTCTCTCGTACCATTTCAATGTAATTCAGTCTGCAGAAACCATCCTGAATATTTCTTTGGGGTGTTAAGTGCACAGTTGCAAGCTGCAAATTTGCAATGCTTAGAACGGAAATCACAAGTACACAGCAACAAAAGAGGACCGGAGTCCACTGGCGGTCAGATGATCGGCGGCGGCGGCGTCTCCCAGACGTCGAACACGTTCTCCTCGTTGTGCAGGGCGAAGAGCCGGTCGCCGCCGATCGAGAAGTCGCAGATGGCGCCGCCGTGGCTGCGCCGGAGCGTCGACGTCAGCACGTACTCGGGCCCGCTGAACACGGAGATGCTGTCGTTCATCGACGAGAAGAGCTGCCCGCCGTGCGTGGCGAGCTTCGGGTAGCAGCTCTCCTCGCCGGGCACCTTCCGGTTCATCAGCTTGCTCCGGGAGCTCCACCTCACGCCGCCGGCGCCGCTCCGGAGGTCGAGGAAGCCGAGGTCGTCGTACTGGTTGATCACGCAGACGGAGCGCTCGTCCTCCATGGCGATGGCGTGGAGCACGCGCTTGTCGTCCAGCGACGCGGCCGCGCCGGCGTCCGACCAGGACCAGACCACGTTCTTGGCCCGGAAGTCCAGCAGGCCGATGAAACAGTTGTCCGCCTTGGGGAACAGCGTGGCCACCATGAGCGCGTTGGTGGCGTCCAGCCACTGTAGCTTATCGGCGTCGCCCAGGGCGCAGCCGGGTTGCTCGTAGAAGAAGTCGGCCTGCTCGCCGGTGACGCGGTCCCAGACGCCGATGCCGTACTCGTTGAGCCGGCCCTTGCAGCTGGCGAAGATCCTCGAGTCCTGGTCGAAGGCCAGCGCGCCGGCGGTGAAGGACTTGACCTGTCGGTCATGCGCGACGCGGAAGCGGTGGCAGAGGTCGCCAGAGGCCGCGGAGAAGGCGGCCATGCCGCCGTCGCGCTTGCCGAGCCGCTCGCGGGCCGCGATCAGGAGCGTGGCGGCGTCGAGGTAGACCGCGTCGTTGACCTGCGAGTGGTCGAGCGACACCGGGCGGCGCTCGTCGAGCATCCAGTTGTACACGCGCACGGCGCCGCCGTGCGCGACGCAGCACCCGCCGTCGGGCGCCGCGCGGATGGCCGTGCCGTCCCCGGGCGCGCGCCCGGGCACGGACGCGGCGTGGCGAAGGCGGTCGCCGTCGAACGCGCCCCACCGCGCGGCGCGCACATGGTCGAGCAGGCCGTAGTAGAGCGCCTCGCAATAGAGCAGCTTCTCCGGGAGGTGCGGCGGCACGTGGAGGCTGCCCGTGCGGAGCAGGTCCAGCAGCACCGCGAAGCAGGCCGGGTTGCGGTCGATGAAGTACTCGGCCACTCCGCCGCCCGAGGGGGAGGAGGAGGAGACGTTCCAGGAGGAGTCGAGTAGCGCGCCGAGCATGGAGTCCCGGCCGGCGTTGGCGAGCGTGGTGGTCGTCGTCTCGAACACCTGCCCGCCCACGTTGAACCGCACGCGCCCGCCGGCCGCCATCGTCGGCGGTCGCCAAAGAACCGATCTTTACTACACCATCTCCGCTTTGAGCAGCATCCAGCTTCCGATCCCGTGTAGATTCAGCGCCAATTACCGGAGGATTCCGCGGCGAATCCGCTGGGGGATCGAATTGTCGAGCTGCCGCCTCCGCTGCGCTGTATCGGGCGGTTGAGGAGACGGCGGATTGAGCCAATTACTACTGCTCGCGTTTGTACGAGGTCGGGGCGTGTATATACGAGCTGCCGCCTCGGCTGGATTTATGGCGTAACGGCAGTGCGGAGGCGGATGGGGAGAGAGGAGACGGAGGACGGGAGGGATAGCGAGCGTCGAGCGCGGAGGCAGGTAGCAGGCGAGGTGGTGGTGGGGCGGTATCGCTTTGACGTGAAGACGGCGCTTGATTGGAAGGACAAGGCAACGTCAGAGTCCCCAGTCGCCAGCCCGGCGGCGGGGTCGGGGACGCATTTCTAGCTATTCCCCCCGACCCCCGGTTTGGTTGTTGGGGCAATTTTAATGGTTAAACTGTAATAAATTTTTAACAATTTTACGACAGATTAGCAAAGAAGATAAAAGATCATGTTGTCCCTTATTAAACTGTTGAACCTTAATAACTCTTATAAGAAACCTAATTAAGTAGTGTCGTTTGGAGTATCCAATGTAGGAGATAGATGTTGAGTTAAATAAAACCCATACTACGAGAGTGATTAACGTGGATCGATGGATCGTTCACCTCTAGAAATTGATTCTTTCGTGACAGAGGGAGTACAGTAGTACTAAAAGTGATCTTGCTACGCTGCGTTCAGTCAACTATCTGAACAGGAAGATGGAGCTCGTCATTCGTCAAGTTGTCATTGTGAATAAAGTCGCCCACTCATCCTTTTATCTTTTTAGATAATGGTAGATTAAACAACCGGCTTGTTTCCTCGGGTAGGAATCAGGCCACTTATATCACAATCACACCACCGGCGGCCTGTTAGCTGCAACCGTGCAACCGCCCGAAGGTGGCCACTGACTGGTAGGCACGCAAAGTCACACAAAGGACTGGCTTCAGTTCACGTCGTCGCACACGGCACACTCGCACAGCATCGTGCGTGCCGCCGGGTGACGTGCAGGTCCCGACAAAGGACTGACTTCAGTTCACGTCGGGCGCTTCGAAACCCGCCCGCGCGGTGGGCCCGCCTCCGTGCTCCGGCGTCCGACCTGAAGTCAAGCTCGCCTCTCCAATCATCGGCGCCGGCGAATCTTCCGGCTTCGTTTCGCGCGCTTCTTTTCTAATCCCGCCGCTGATATGACCGTGTGTCCGTGTCCCGACTCCCGAGTCCATGTCCCTGCCTCCTTTTCCTCGCTCCTGTCCTGCTCATTCGCGGTCGCGGGGTAGCCTTGTGCTTGTCGGTCGAGGTGGCTGGGTGGGAATGGAAACGGCGCGGCGGCCGTACCGGTGCGTGGCGCGTTTGGTTCTGTACAGTTGTTGGGTTGGGGGGCTTCTTCTCGTGTCGGCCGGCGCCCCGGCGGATCCCGGTATCACGGTAATGGCGGACCGCGAAACGCTTCTGTGGTTCAGATGATGCTCGGATGGATTCGATTCGTGTGCAATGCTCACAGTCACAGCTCGAAGCTCGGAGCTCACATACTTCGATCCTTATGAGAGGAAAGCGTCATACAGATTGACAGTCACGGTACGGTAGAACACCAAACCAGTACGGCTCGCGCGCTGCGCGCCCGAGGTACGGTTCATCCAGGAATCTCTCCCCCATATCGCAAGCTCAACAAATGCTTATGGGGCTTATAGAATGAAGAAATCCCTATACATAACTCCAAGGTGGAAAATCAGACAATAGTTTAAATATTGAACTACTCCTTTCGTTAAAAAAAACTAATTTTTTTTTTACAAAGAATCAAACTTTTCAAGGTTGGCTTAATATATATAAAAAAATATTTATGATGCATAATGAGTATTATTAATTTAATACTACAATATATTTTCAAATAAACGTTACATTTCTTCACTATTTTCTATAAATCTAGTCAAACTTTTAAAAAAAGTGAGATATTCATAATTTATTTTATAAATCTAGTCAAACTTTAAAAAGAAATGACTCCTCAAAAAACGAGATACAGGACAGAAGAATAAAGTGCAGGCCCAGTGCCGGAGGCTCCCACATGAGTAGGGTCTGGTGAAGGGAAAAACCGAGGCAAGCCTTCCCCCGTAAAATCTGCGGAGAGGCTGCTTCGAACCCGTGACCTGGTGACTTAATGAGACAGCTCTCACCACTGCATCAAGCCAAACAAGGGCGTACCCAGTACAGAGAGCTCCCGGGAAAGGGAAAAATCGAGGCAAGCTTTCCTCCGCAAAATCTATGGAGAGAATGCTTCGAACCCATGACCTGGTGACTCAGTGAGACAGCTCTCACCACTGCACCATGCCAAAAAATGGCGCACCCAGTGCTGAGATATCCGCCTCTGTCTGTGGGTCTGGGAGGGTGTCAGTGGCAAGCCTTACCCTCGCCTGTGCAATGCGAGGAGACCGCAACTCGAACCCGGGACCTTTCGGTCACAGACGGTAAGACTCTACCGCTTGCACCAAGCCCGCACTTGTAACAGGACAGAAGAATAAGATTCAGTAAAAATTGCAACCCTAAGTTGAGCTACGGATTACTAAAATCCAGAAACAGCTTCCAGTTAGAATCTGAGAGTAGCATAATAATAACCAGTAATAATAGGCTAGATGCTTGAATACCCAGGGGGGAGGGGCAATCAGGCAATATTTTTCTTAGCAGCAGATAAGTCGAGTTAGAAGAGAAGTCAGGGAAAAGAAAATGGGGCAAATCACTTTTTGTTCTTAAAGGACAAGGGAAATCACGTTAGAAACTACGAACTCAGAGTGCCTTTCTTTGATTACATTCTCTTCGTAACAGGAACATATTTTTGTTTGCCAACAAGGATAACTCAAACTAGTATAAAAAAAAACAAGGATAACTCAAACTGCATTACGATTTAACACAAAAGCTTGAACCAAAGCAAGGATGAAATCCATTTTTGCCAGAGGCACAGCCGCTGGCAAGGAGAAACAAAATAAAGTAAACCAAACATTACAGCTCCTATAGAGAGTTTAAGACTGCAACAACTACGAGCTGACTCATGATGGCCAATTACCAGAGCGCTAAGCTGGTAACCGGTCCAGGGAATATAAATAAAGCATACATGGCATGCCTCATGCCAACATTTTGAGACTTGAGACTGCAAGGGCGGAACGCCCCTGAGATGATGAGCTGCATAGCTTCTGAGCAACTAGTTGCGGCTCTTTCTTCTGCGCTTCTTTCTGCTAGTGGTTTTAGCAGACCCCTTCTCCTCCTCCGATGACTCACCTTCATTCTCCTCTAGCTTCCTTTTGGTTGAAAGACCATTGGTCTTGGATCCATCAATAGCTTCACTGGATTTCACTTCATCTTGTGAATTCTTGTCTTCACTGCCAGCATCATCCTTTGAGTTGTCGGTGCTATCAGGCTCATCCTTGCTGCTTGCCTTGACAACAGCATCCTTAGCCTTTCCAGTAGATCGAGAGGGCCTTGCACCTTCCTTCTTAGAGTTAATGCCAGTCTTAGGTGTTTCTTGACTATCCTTCTCAGCACTTTTTCCCTTCAGTCTGGCTGGAGTCACAGACCCTTTTGGACGCCCTCTCTTCTTGGGAGGATTCTTAACATCACTGCCACTGTGCATAAAACAGTTAAGTAGTTTTCACATAAGCTATCGAGTGTACAATGTATCAAGATAGCACATTCATAATAGTAAACACTTACCTTTGAGGTGTTCCTGTTTTTCCTTCCTTCATTTGTTGACCCGAGCTCCCTTTAGCTTTTCTGCCACGTCGTCTGGTTTACAAGAAACAACTCATAATTTAACAAATGAAACCTCTGCATTAAGTTATAACCTAAAAAATGGACGGGAGTGGAATACCAGGTAACATTGGCATAGAACAGTGTGTGCGTGTGAACAAAAGAACCAAAGTTGATCAATCAGGATAGAAAGTAACTCAGATGTAAAAAAAAGAAGACACATTAGGAATAAATCAACTTCAGAATTTCCATTTGGTGGTTACCACCAAATAGCAAAGTTATAGCTAGACAATCAAACAGATCAAAGGCATGCTTGACAGGTTAAGTTGGAGATAAGGACAGAGACAAAAGCACATAGAAGAATTCACATTAAATCTTAAAACATATGAGACAAACATTGGTTGTTTGAAAAAAAATCAAGCGTTTGCATGCTACCACTGCTTTGTTTTTTAGAGTTGAAACTAGTAACCCAGTAAGTGTAAAAAGCTGCTCCTAGTAACTTAGGCAGAAACCAGTTCTTAATACGAGGTAGGGGAAACTGCAGTTGTGCACAGAATCACATATTATACTATTTAACGTTCTGGCATAATTATAGTTGTCATCTCAAACACAGAACATACAAAAGGCACAAAGTAGATATTTTTCTTACATATTAGATGGTGTATCAGGATCAGTGTCTTGTTCCTGCAGGATGGCAAATGAATCAGAAAAAGGAACAGAGGAGGATACATATAACTGTATCAAATTCAAATCTAATGGAAATACCTCAGCAGTGAACTCCCATCTTTCCTTCTTAAGCACTAGTACCTCAACATCACCATCATCATACGAAACCTGAGCACCAAGAGGAAAGGGTTCAAACATCATAATCAGTTTTGTTTAACAGAAAAATTAAGAAATCCATCACTAATAGTGTTTCTCATTCAGACAGGCTAAACGCTTAAGGAACAAATGAAGTGTGAATGGGCACCTTGTGCTTCTTTGACGATGCATCAAATGATTCGACAACACCCGCATAGAACCTGCAAATCAAGAAATAATTTCAAAACCAACCAAACTGCATGCTAGCATAACTCATGGAGCAAATAGCATTTTCAGCTGTTAAACCCTGTTATCAAAAAGAAGATTTAAGGAAAGAAAAAAGAAAAAAAAACTATAGGTGTACAGTTCCAACCAGAAGAATAATTCACCAAGCAGATATATATATAAAGGAAGAAATAGCAACCACTATGCAGACTTGGAAGCCTTCAGAAATAGCAACCACAGTGCATCAAAAAGGTGGTCATCAGAAATAAAATATATGCTCACATATAATCAAATGCTTCACTATAGAAATATCCATGACATTGCCACAGACAAAATAAACATTGGTGCAAAAAATAATATATATTAACTACTGTAAGAACACCATTACTGATAAGAAACACATGTTGATCATCGGGCTTACATTTTGTCATCTGGCCACCAAACTTTGATTCTTGAGCCAACAAGGTTTTCATCAAGCATTTTGTTTTTCTTTGATAGAGGGGTCTGCCAACACAACAGAAAAGGTTCTGATAAACTGAAACAGAAATAAGGTCGAAGACAATTCACTGTGTCAAGAATGCATACCTCTTGAGCTTCCTGCAAACGTTTCCTTTTTGATGACGCCCCACCATCCTCTTGTTGGCCTTTTGATTTATCGATCCTTGTTGGGGACACCATTTCCTGAATAATGATAATCGATAAAAAAAAATCAAGTCATTGTGGAAGACCACATTAGGAGGAGAGAAAAAAAGAGTGTAAACAGAAAAGGTCAAAAACATGATGAACGACAACCAAGGGTGATATAAGTTAATCCGTTGAAAAGACCAGTTGAGCTGGCCGACCGTTAGTAATGCTTTACCTATCGACTATCTTATTGTAGGGAATAAAAGCATGTAAACATGAAACTATAATAGGCACTATCACTATAGAAACCCAATCTTCAGCTAATAAGATATAAGCCTGGCTTAAGTACAGAGAAACAACTTCAATGCATGTGCTGTAGTCAACTGAGAACAAGAAAGCTACCTTCAAACTAATATCTTCATCGGTGTCTTTATCAGAGACAGCATCTTCTTTCTGCAATTTCATACTGGTTTTATGTTGCTTCTTGCCAGATTCTCCTTCAGCAGCCTTAGTTGATGAAGACTTCGCAGCATCTTTATTCAGTTGTCTTGTAGCTCTCCCTCCAGAATCAGTGACAGGGTCAAGTTTTGCAGATTTTAGGTCTGATGCATGTTTCTTTCCGACAGGCTTTTTCTCCTGAGACTTTGCTGCTGGAGGTCGGCCTCTCTTTGGCTTAACCACAGCAGGCTTAGTATCAGTTGGTTTTGATGATTCCTCAGCAGTTATATTGCCAGTCTCTGATAGCTGCTTTTTATCACCATCATTTGTCTCTGGGGATAACTCAGATGCTACTAGAGCCTCATTGTCTTTAACAACCTTTGATTGTTCACTCATCTCAGATCCAATGGAAGAACCAAGCTTGTGATCTTTCTTTGAATTGACATCAGATAGCTTTTCAGTTTCAACAGTCACTGGTTCTTGTACTTCTTCGTCACAAGATATCAATTGCTCAGAACTTTTGGTCTGCTTGTCAAGAGAAGTCAGTTCTGGCTTCTGTTTAGAAGAATCCGGTGTCTGCTCGTCACCAGAAGTCAGTTCTTGCTTCTGGTTAGAAGAATCTGGTGTCTGCTCCTCACCAGAAGTCAGTTCTTGCTTCTGTTTTGAAGAATCTGGTCCATCTGGAGACTTGACATTGTCAACTGGAGCAGCACCATTGCTAATGGCAGTTGTGGGAGTACTGCTTGGACTAGTACCTTCTTGGCCTAGGCAATTGACATTTTGGTCCACCTTTGAAGTTTCCTGAAAAATAAGAAAATATAAAAGTTGTTGTGTCTACCTCACTCTATAGAACATTAGATGCTGAACATCTGTAGATGTATACCTGTGGTGACTCGTCAGAAACAGACTTTTCAGAAAGTTTACCTTCAGCTGCCTGCATAATAATAATTTAGAGGAACTTAGCACACAACTGAAACATATGCATACCAGGAGAGGGGGGGGCTCTTAGTACTATCAAATTGAGGATATTATATGCACTAAAAGTAATGGTGAATCATGCTACTGATAGTACCAGAATCCAACATGACTAGTCACAAAAAAAAAAATCAACATGACTATACATACCATCATATCTGTGCACAATACACTATCCAAACTCCACAGGAATTAGTACATAACAAAAATGTTTCTTTGAAATTTCACATGTTATATTATGGTTAATATAGTTCCCTTTCCAGATAGCAGGGTTCAAAAATTCTGACCAAGTCCCTTTTTGAAGAATGGCCTGAATTTTAAGTTAAGATACATTCAATACCACACATAACTGAATACAGGCCTGTAATAACAGTATAGATCACATGTTCCTCTCCTACCAGTATCTCAATAACAGAAGAAATAGCACCCCTTTCTGTCAAACTCTTACAAAAGCAGCCTTTCCCATTTGATTACGCATCCAAAAATAGATCAACCATGCCACAAAAATGAACTAACACTTAGACCAACAAATTTTCAACATGTATTCATCAGTCCAAAACTCAATTTGTAAATATACTGGTGATTTAACTAACCATGTCTTTTCCTGATGCATCAACATTGTTTTCTCCAGCATCTTGGAACAACGTTGTAACAACGTTGCTGTATCCATCCAAGGGAGTGCCCTTAAGTAACTCATGAAGCACAGGTTTGAGCTTGTCCCTGCATAGGCCTAGTACCCTCTCTGCAAGTCCAAAAGATGCTGGGAGAGTTTCCTGTAAAGTAAGGACAGAAATTTTAGTACAAGATGACAATAACTAGCTGTTAATGAAAACAACAGAGGGATGGAATTACTTGCGCTTCTTTAGTAAGGTTCTGAAGCAGGCACGATGCCAGTTCAGCATGGACATCATCGCTCTCCTGAATTACAAACAGCATTATAATTTCCATACAGTGGGTGACTTGTTCTGAATGCCTGGTGCTGAAATATACAAAAAAAAAAGGAACAAATAAGATGAGAAATAAAAAAAAATCCACACTAGATAAACAAGGACAGAATTCATGCACAACGGGAACATATATAGGAACATGCATTCTATGACTACCATCACAGCAATGAAATCCTTCTTTGGGATCTAAAGATGCCACAATTACATTATTGGCTCAGTCCATTTGTCAGATCTTAAAAAATATGGCACCAAGTGTATGCAAAAATTATGACACAGATAAATGTGAGGGAAGTTTCTTACGAGGCAGTTTTGAAGAAATGACGGAACATATCCAGTATCATATGGTCCAAGTCAAGATCCAACATCAGAACACAACAACGAACCCTTGCAACAGAATCAAGGATCGAAACCCTCCTTGAAAAGGAAGGGCTGTTCATATCATCCAAGTCAGCAAAAGTATCCACAATTCTCTTAAACACGGCCTGCAACAAGGCAAAATAGCAATGGTCAGTACATATAGACACCATCGTTCCATCCCAAGAAGGGCAACAAATCTCACCTTCATAACATCATCATCATAGGGGGCCTCTGGTGCGGTAATCCTGGTAACTTCAGTTAAGCAAGAGGTGAGAGCAACCTTTACGTTGGGATCAGGGTGCTCCAGTAGCTCATTTGTAATCAAAACAGCCATAGTGGGGCGAAGAGCATTGTACATGCTCTCGGGCGGAGATTGATCCACCCTGGACAACCACATTTCGGCTTCCTGCACAAACGAACAAGCAATTCCAACTCTAATAAGAAAAGGGCAAACCTTGTATATAGTCCTGAGCTAAATGAGCTACCAACTAGGCCATACATCACACATCATAATCAATCTCCAAAAAAAAACATTGCAATGCAAGCAATATCTCCACGAAAACAACTCAGGATCACATGGTCTCATCAACCAACAAAGCAGATTTTTTTTCTTCCATCCTAATCTAGATCAGTGACCAGCTAGGGCATACTTCTATCTCCGTTCGACTGTTCCAGCCTACTCAAAACCGCACAGATTAATCAATCTACAGAGAACCATTTTCTCCAATCCCAAGCCGGATGAGCCACCAGCTAATGTAGGTTCCGTAATAAGAAAAAAAATATCCCAAAACGATAAACAATTGCAAGGCAAGCTACATCTCGACACGCCTGATTGACGAACACAACGGGAACAGAGCACGATAGCTAGGCAAAACGATAAACAATTGCAAGGCAAGTTACATCTCGACACGCTCGATTGACGAACACAACGGGAACAGAGCACGATAGCTAGAGCGAAAGCAAAGGGTTCGCTGGGGCCGCGCTCACCTCGAGTAACCGGAGCAGTTCCTCGTGGTCCTCCGGGATAGCGCCAAAGCGCTGGCTTACGTCGCGCATCCGCAGCTCGGCCTCAGCCTGCACTTCCTCCGGCGTCATCACAGGGGCCGCAGGCGGTGCGTCCTCCGCCATCGTCGGGGCGCGGGGTGGAGACCTAACGGGGAGAGGGGTTTAGGGTTTCGGCGAGGGGGCTGGTGGTGACGGGAAGACTAGCGGGGGTAGGGTTTTATAGCCGACGAGACGACGGTGGTGGCGGCGGCGACGGTGAGGAGGCGTTCGCACTCGACCTCTCCCACCTTCCAATTTTTCGCGATTCGCCGCCGTTCGAATCGTGCAACGGGAACATCTGGGTTGGCTGAGGTTGAGCAGGGGCTGAGCTGTTGAGGCCCCTTCAACCAGTTTACAAAAAATACCGGTTCCAAAGGCTGCGACGAGGACAGGTCACACAAGTCGGGTTGGCTCCGATTTCAAATTCAAAGGATATGGAAGGAAAAACTTGGCGGTAGATAGGCAGCCTGAGAAGTACTGTTGTCTGATTTATGTGAGAGAAAAATATTGTTTCGACTGGAAATTTACGATCGTTTACGACAAGCCACAGCGAAACGAACAGGCTGAGGATTCATATACCAGGGTTAACTCAGAAAATGTCTAGGATCGTTTGAAAAATATAAGTATAAATGTGTAAATTGTAGGGTTTAGATGTTTTGTGTAAGGCTTTTAACATTTTTTTTCTTTTTGGTTACTTTTATTGTGAATGCTCATTTTGAATAATTTGTTTTTAATATTTGAATGTGAAGTGTTGGGTTTACTTGCTATTTGGATCCTTAGAGCTAACAATTGTACTAGCTGCTAAAAATCTTATGTGATCTCCTTTGATCTCTCTAATTAATATAATCTAATTAGTATCTTACACAATATCCAACTTATATGTGGTCTATTTGGATCCATAGCTAATAGTCTAGCTAGTGTCTTACCTACCACCCAGATTAATTATATCACATTTAAATCTCTAGCTATTAATCTAGCTAGCATCTTACCTACCACCTAGATTAGCTGTCACATTTGGATCCATAGCTAATATCTTAGCTGTCACATTTCTAGATTCATAGCTTCTATTATGTATCTAGACATAATATATATCCAGGTGCGTAGCAAAAGCTATAAATTTAGAAAAGCCAAAACGTCTTATAATTTGAAATATAGAAAGTAGCTGCTAAAAATCTTATGTGATCTCGTTTGATCTCTCTAATTAATATAGTCTAGTTAGTATCTTACACAATATCCAACTTACATGTGGTCCCGTTTAGATCATAGCTAATAGTCTAGCTAGTGTCTTGGCTACCACTAGGTTAATTATATCCCATTTAAATCTCTAGCTATTAATCTAGCTAGCATCTTCTCTATCACCTAGATTAGTTGTCACATTTGGATCCATAGCTAATATCTTACCTACCACCTAGATTGCATATGGTCCTGTTTAGATCCCTAGCTAATATTCTAGCTAGTGTCTTACCTACCACCCAGCTCATAATTAGCTGGTTCCTCCATCTAACAATTAGCTTTTAGCTAAGAGATCCAAGCAGAGCCTTAAATGAGAGCTTTTTAGCCACATTTGCATATTTTTATGTTAGCAATATAAGATTTTTAGATGCATATTCCATGAATGATTATAAGAAAAAAAATGTTTGTGATCTATAATGTCCATGATTTATCTTCAATCTATTTTGTACTACTATCTGAATGGCTCTAACTAACCATATATTTAGTTTTTAGTTTTTTGGTACACGGGAGATGGGATAAGTCGATCCCATTTTGAAGGTTGTTTAGTTTAGGGACTTGAAGGTTGTTTAGTTTAGGGGTAACTAGGGAGGAGGATGCAATAGAATTTTTGTAGATGTGTATTCCATGAATGTTTATGAGGAAAAATGATTGTGATATATAATGACCATGGTTTATGTTCAATCTATTTTGTAGTACTATCTAGAACATTGAATGGTTCTAACTAACCATATATTTAGTTTTAAGTTTTTGGGACACGGAAGATGAGAAAGGTCGATCCTATTCTGAAGGTTGTTTAGTTTAGGGGCAACTAAGGAGGAGGATGTCTGGCCCTAGGGGGAGGCCTCCCCCTCCCCTCACCACATATCGAGTAGACGAGCTCGTCCCTTGTAAGCGCCATAGCTCCTCCATCCGTACCAAGTACAAGGGCAGGATGCGGGTTGGCGCAGAGGCGTTGAGGGGCTTGAGGCAAGCACAATCGCTTGGGCAGGGGCACCCCAGTGACAAGCATGTGGCTTGTAGCACGGGTGTTCTCGAGGTAGGCGACATGGTGGGCGTGCAAGGGCAGGCACAATGAGGGCGCTAATGGGGGTAGTTGTGCTAAGAACTGAGCTCAAGCAGGTGGCTTTGCAGGGGTAGCTTCAACGGGTGGGGTAGGAAGGCAGGCCAGAGGGTGGCAACGGTGCACAGACGATTTGGGAGGAAGAAAATATGTGGACGAGAGACCCCACGTTTCACGGTGACTCACAATGTGGAAATTGTGTTCATCCCAGTCATCTCTATCAGTACAACCAAAGGAAAAAAATAAGAATGGACTATCATTTTCAACCAAACGTATAATGGGACCATCACATCCCACATTCAGGGATGAGACTATCTCATTCCAAGACATTCCCAAACCAAACATGTGCTACAATAATAACTATGTTGGTTGTGCCAAGGCTCTAGCATTAGCTATAAACATCAAATTTTCTTTTTTGAACTCTTAATTCTAGCTCGCGAAAGATTTATGTGATTTTTTAACATAAATGTTGCAAAGACCCTATACGCCATGACTTCATGTTTGTTTCACATGTCTTGTAACTCTCAAAAACCTCTAACATGTCCTTTATAGTTGAAACCTGAGCCACCAACTTCTTTATCCTTTCCCTCTTTGGAACTTTTTTTTATCTTATGTGAATGCTGAATCGACATAATGATTCCACACACATAACTGCTAAGTCTAAACAAAGCAAAATATCAAAGATTCCACAACAACAATAGAGAAATTGAAATAAAGCACACAACAAAAATATACTAAGATATGTTGTGCTCCTATGACTTTCACTGTTCTCATTTATCTTGGATGAAAACACTCTCCCTACTTATGAAAAGATTTCATGAAAATATAAATAATAGTAATAAAAATAAACTAAGATATGTTGTATCCCTAAACTCATTATATGAAACACATAAATACCTGCGATTGTGGTGGAACCTGCCCACGCAGGTTTAAGTCCTCGACTTGGCACGGATACTCGTATTTTCTTGGATTTATTCCAGGATTTAACGGCGCTATGCTTTCAGTGGTAGGCGATGTCCCGTCAACAGCAAGGCACATGTGATGACTTCATGAATCTCGAGATCTGTCGGCTCAGTCTTTCGGAGGAGCTCATAGGGGTAGGGCTTGCATATGTGTGTCCATAGGATTGAGTGTGCGTGCATGTCGTGGACGCCTACGTTGTACTGTTTAATATAAAAAATACATAAATACCTAATAACCATACCCTCCCTTCCTCGTCTATCTTAGAATTTCAAATGATGCATCGAAATCATCAATAATCATGCTCACATTAAAAAAATAAATCGCGATTGTATATATGTTTGCTCTTTTTATTTTACTGTGATGCCAACAGTCGAATCGAGTAATATGTAGACATGAAAAAGGAGTAACATGATGACAAAACAAAAATAAATTGCATACATGTTTTCTTAACAAAATTGACATAGTATATGTAACTTTTTTAAATGTATGCAAGAAATAAGTGTAGTGTGCCTTTGCACAATGACAACAATGTGAAATGTATAAAAAAACAACATGACCCACTGTTTTTAGCTTGATGAGCCAATGAAATTAATGTTGTACTCCGTCTATTTCTTGAAAGGGGAACAAGAAATAACATGAACCAAAACGAATCTAAATGTATCAATTGTTCTAAAGGTCATGTCATAAATTTGTGGGACTATTTTGTAGATTGCTTACAACTCTTCCTAGCTACCACTTTTTAAACCCCTCATTAAAAGGTTTAGTATCCATTATAGTCTCTCTTGCATTACGACATATATTACTTCAAATCTTCATGATTTTTTTAAATCCTAACAGAAAAACTCTCTTTTCATAAGAGCTCCCATTTCACACGGGGAAACCAACATAAAGAAAAAAATATAATCATAGAATTATGTGAATTGCTTGTGGTATATGAACATTTACCTTGGGCATATAGGGGCTATTTGGTTACGGGCCACAACCTGCCATGCTTCATGTGTGGCGATGTCGTGGCTGTGGTGTCGAAAACCAACGCCACACTCTGTCAAAACAGCCTCATATATATCATCATACTGATAGGCGGGTAACTTGGTCGAGCATCTTAGCCACCAAATAGGCAAGATCAATATAGTCCCATGGTTCGCAAACCTCTAATGGCACCATCGAACCATTCCTCCCAACCGCAATGACCAAACATCAATATTTAGGTCTCCTTCTTTTGTTGCGTTTAATTCTCTATTAGAGCACACATCACTAGCTAACCATTTCGAGTAGAAAATAGACATAGAATGAAAGAAATCACTCACATATGGCGAAACAAAGAAGAAGATGAAGACTTGCGGATGGCGGCGGACCGGCGGCGGTAGGGAAGGTGTTGTGTATGCCTATTATATGTGGGTGGGTAGGCAGCTATATATAGAGTAGGGTTGCGAAATAATGAGTGGGCTTCTAGGGTTCGGTCGTAGCTTTGGGCCGGTTGATTTGGCCTAGATAACCTTTTAATCTTTTGCCCAAGCCTCACCCACTTACTCTATACCTTTTCATACTCTACTCCCAAATGTTTTAGCTTGCATCTTTCACTGGTGGTCCAATTTGAACCTAGACACTTCCTATTTTTGACTCCTCGTGGCACAAGGAGCGAATCTGTGCTCATGTGTACTCTCAAACACAATTTTTTGAATACCCCACGTAAATAAGATGGGGGTTTGTTATACTATGTGACCTAGAAAAAATAAAGCTTTAAAATAGCATACACTCACCATTAATACGAATCTTACTCCCTCAGTCCTGAAATGTAATATAGTTTTATCGTAAATAAAACTTCTCT